AAGTAGATCCAGGTAAAGTATACACTTTAATTTTAATAATTCAATCATTTTTATTCACAACTAGTATGAAATAAATGTAGTAAATATTTTTATTTTTTATTTGCAGCTATAATGCTTCTCACATGTTGGAGGACTTAATTAACGTACTATATGGTTCTTTTGAAAATTTTTTGCAGAATGTCAGCAAAATATTTTGGTATCATTTCATATAAAATCGTTCCTCGTATAATGAAAAAAAAACACCACTCGGAGAAAAGCTATTCCAGTTAATGAGTACTATAATTGAGATATATATATGACTTATAACCGACGTCACAACACTGAATAATATTATTAATTATGTCTGTTTGTTATCTGAATTATTTTTGATCATTCTCAGTCATTCCCGAGGAGTGTGGGAATTACCTCGATTATTTACGAGTGCGTTTCGGCTCACTTTGACTCGGGACAATTTACCGCTTTCTGGGCGATCAACTACGAATGACATCGCAAGTGTATAATTATAGCAAACCTCTAGTCCCACGTTACTCACGAGTGTCAACGATTAATTTAATTGTGAGTTAATCGTGTATACTTTCGAGTAGTATGGGACCGGCTTAACGAAAAATTTGGAAACTCAGACAGTATAAGTCATGACTAATTGTGTTCTAAAGCAAAAAAGTTTTGTTTGGACTATGTCTTATCAGCAGGGCTCGGAACTTTATGCATTTGCATCTTTCTTAGGAAGCTGCATATTTCAAATCTGATTCGATACAAATTCGTTTCATGAACCATACAGTTGAAATACAAAAGTTGATGTTGCATATTTTTGCATATTTTACCAAATTTATATGATTATGCATATTTAAAGATTTTGAATATATAAATGCATTTTATGGTAAAAATTTATAAGAAATCAACAACTAACAATTTTTTGATAATTGAATATTGTAAATTAAATAATTTAAAAATAAATAGCCGCCGCACACTGTTTCCTATTCTAAATTTGCTATGCTATCAATCATGCTCGCCCGCATGGTTTATAGTGTTTTTACTAAGAAATAAGAATTGGGTCGTTACTCTTACCGTAATTACCGCCCTGGTTTTATTTATATTGAAGTCGCTCGTTAGATAAAATCGATAAAATCGTTGTATATTCGTGGTGTGTGTTAGTATGTGTTTGATCGTGTGTCGAAAACATATTCGATAACGGTGGTCTGTTACTTAAATAAATTAGTGTGTTCGTAGTTCGTATTGTTTGCTTACCGTGCTCGATTACCGTTTATGTGCCACGTAATATTCTGATTTTAATATTTGTTAAACAAAAATTAAAATGCCTAAAAAAAAAAAAAAAATTTAAGTAGTCGTTTAAATACTTTCGTGTCTGAGTTCAGTAAAAATGTTTTTAGTATTGACACTAGGGTATTATTTTGCAAATATTGCGAAACGAAAGTCGATTTGGATAGAAGATCCAGCGTAATACAGCACTTGAAAACAGAAAAACATTTGTGTTCTGTTAAACGTAAAGAAAATCAACAAGAGACCAAGTGCCAACAACTATTAACCAATGATTTACCGTCTAAAAAATCGAAGTTCAACCTGGATTTATGCAAAGCTATGATCTCGGCTAATATACCACTAAATAAACTATCAAATATAGAGTTTCGGACATTTTTGGAAGTTTATTCTGGAAAAGATGTCCCCACAGAATCAGTACTTCAAAAATTCTATTTAGACGACTGCTACAACGAAATGATGGAAAAAATTAGGCAACGTGTTTTCGACCGAAAAATTTGGGTGTCACTTGATGAAACAACAGACGCAGAAGGTCGATATATAGCTAATGTAATAATAGGGACTTTAGAAGAGGATACTGCTGGTCCAATTTTTTTACTGAATACTGAAGCACTAGAAAAGACCAATCACTCTACAGTTTCTAAACTTTTTGACAAATCTTTAAGCATTTTATGGCCTGATGGGATAAGACACGACAACGTTTTATTATTTTTGTCCGACGCTGCGCCGTATATGATAAAGTGTGGAAAATCTCTGAATGCACTCTACTCTAAAATGGTACATGTGACTTGTGCTGCTCATGGCCTCCATAGAGTTTCGAAGGAAGTACGAAATCAATTTGGTACTGTTGATAAAATTGTAGCTAATGTAAAAAAAATGTTTAAAAAAGCACCATCACGCATACAAATTTTAAAAAATTACGCTCCTGATATCCCTTTACCTCCGGAACCAATTATAACCTGATGGGGTACCTGGATCAATGCTGTACTTTATTATTGTAAATATTACGAAAAAATTCGTGATGTTGTAAATATGTTGAACTCCAATGATGCTTTAAGTATTAAAGTTTCAAAAAAAAATTTGGTAAAAGAACACGTTCAAAATAATTTGGTGTATATTACTTCAAATTTTAAAGCTCTTTTTGAATCAATTTTGAAACTGCAGACAAAAAACATGCCTTTAGCTGAATCGTTGAGTATCGTGGACAATGTTCAAACACAATTAAAATCCGTTCAAGGTGAACCAGGGAAAAAAGTCTATGAAAAAATGGAAAGTGTTTTGTCTAAAAATATCGGATTAAAAACATTAAAACAAATCTCGTCAATACTTAGTAGATCTATCTCCACCATGGATGGTCTTCCCGAAGATCTGTCAACAAATGACCTTATTTTCTACAAGTACGCACCAATGACGTCAGTGGATGTCGAAAGATCATTTTCTGTTTACAAAAACCTGAGCCAAAACAGACGATCATTTAAACTTGAAAACATAAAAAAGTATCTTATCATTCAGTGTAATTTAGGTAAATATAACAATGAATACCTAACATGATTTAATAATCGCTGTATTTGATAAATTCTATTTTTTTTAAATTTAGGACTCTGGGAATAGATCCAGTGTAGAACAGCTTCATTATCAAAAGAAAAATACAAATAAAAAAAAAATTTTTTGTTTCTATAATTATTAATTATGCTTTTAAACACATATTTTATAAAATAATAAATGCATATTATACCGCATATTTTGGTGTTTTTTAGTGCATACGTATGCACATATTTCATGTTTTTTTAGCGCATAAAGTTCCGAGCCCTGCTTATCAGCATGTGATTTCAATTTTCAGCAATGTAATTTCCTACGTTCTATGTTTAACAAAACTGTGTTAGACTGATTAACAATGTCTAACGCAGTTTTGCTAATTTTGGTGTGCGATCAGCCTTAAGAATTAAGCTATGTTTTCATCAAAAGCAACTGTCAACAACTACGCTAAGCGACGTGACTGTCATTACAGTTGAGTTTCTTTATGTTCTTATAAAAAAACCTGAAAATTAACTTTATTCACCTTTAACTTATATCTGTTGATTGAATATTAATATTATAAGTATGTTGAATACATCAAATACTCACATGTATGAGATAAATTAGTTATTCATTATTTCGTAATAAAAAGGATTGTATATCATTAACTTACTAGAATTATTTGTTTTAATTAAAATTTCATTCCACAATTCGTATTTTGTATCTTGTCGGGTATTTTAAGTGATGCTAACTTTTTTCATAGTAAATATATAAAGTAAAATAATAAGGTAATAGGTATATTTTTAAATATTAAGAAGACATGATTGTGTGACCATCAATTATAATTAAAAAATTAAATTATGCTGGCATTTGAGGCACTGCAAATAATTTCATTACCTCAAATCTAAGTGATAGATATTTGATATTTACCATTATTTTATTTAATAATTAAATAAAATAAATAAACCAAATAGTTAAAATTAACAATAGACCAAGTCAACCTTTATGAGTTAAGCATGGTGTTCCATGGGAACAGTTCTGGGTCTGGTATTATTTACCTTATATATAAATGGTTTACTCATTATTAATATTGAAACAGAAATAATGTGCTTTACTGATGACAGTCATTCTTATCCACGATAAAAATATAGAAAATCTATATACTAAAGCAAACAATATTTTTAACACAGTTACATCAAGGTTTGCTTAAAAATTAATTTAATTAAATTTAAATAAAACAAAGCATATTGTTATTAATAAATAAATAAATAATGATATTCAAGACAACTTAAAATTTGTGATCACTCACTAGCAAAAAATAATTTTAATTACTCATGTCTTTGTATTGAAAATGTTTATTATATAATAAAATAATAAGGTCTGTATATTGACTGAAAATTAAAATGGAATAAACATATAGAATATTAAGCATTGTTTGTTCACAATGATTTTAAATTTTTTATAATTTAAAATCTATAATTGATAAAAACAATCAAGAATAATATATATTTCATTTGTTTAATCAGTTACTGACAGCTGAGGATGCACTTAAATTTATCTAAGAACACTAAAAATAACTTTAAACAGAATAATTAAATTTATTTGGCCATAAAAGTCCTAATGTTATTTATAAAGAACTAAATATGTTTGGTTTTGATAAGTTATTTAAAAGATGTTAACTGTGACTTGTATATACAAATAAAAATGTAAATATAAATAAATCTAAATTGTATAAATCAATTAGTTTAAAAACTAAATAAGTTTAAGCACAATTATCTTGTGTTATCATTTAAAAATTAATATTAACCTTTTTAAAAATCATAATAATTTTAAGTATTGCATATTAAAACTAATCTAATTTCTAATGCATTAAATATTGTAAAGTACTATTTTTATTTTATTTATAATCTGTTATTATTATTATTATTGTACTAAAAATTTATTTTGTTTTTTTCTAAATATGTAAATGTTTACATATTATTGCCACTCAATTATTATATACTATTAAGACATTTTGATGTATATAATAAAAATTTAAATTATTCTGAAGTTTGTCAACAAGTATGGGTTAATAAATCAATGGGAAATTTAATAAGGAAAAGTATGAAAATTAGGAATAATAGGTTATATTGTTTTAAAATAAATTATTGGAGTTTTTAAATATATTTTCAATTACATGAGACTAAAATAATACATAAAATTAATGTTTAAATAATAGTGTGAAAATAATTTATCTTAAAAAAATTTTCTTAAGTCGCTTAAAAATTTTATATATACTTTTTGTTCATACTGCGTACTGAAATCTGAAAGATTTTCAACAAATGTGTTGGATATACCTTTTTCTGCAAGGAATGTGATCAATAAATCGTAGAGGTCCTGAAATATATAAAATATTGATAATATTAATATCTGTAAAGTATATGTTATTGTAAAGTAATAGGCTGAGTACTTTTTAATTTTAATATGTATTTTAAGTACACTTTTATGTTTAGAAGTGTACATAATTATTTTACTAGTAAGTAAAATTAATCATAGATTATTATTCTACAAAGATATTTAAAATTAAATATTTTTAAAACTATATTATATTGACTATAGTTCTTTTTCAAATCGAAAAATTTAATTTACTAAAAACAAAACTTTACTACAATAGTGCTAAAAATATCAAACAAAATAAAACAGAAAAGGAATTGTTAAAACTTAGTAGCTGTTTTTTTTTTAATCACATTTCGAAAAAATAACAAATAACCAAAAATAATATTAATGATTATTGATAATGAATGTTTTTAAACCTATATAAATGTAACTAACTATATTTTAATCTTTTTCTTTATATATAACATCTATATAGTATATTGTTTAATCCAACAATTTTAAAGTTTAATAAAAAAAAAACTTATGATCTATGAAGGCGCGATGGAGAGGGAAGAACTAGATTGTAGATTGAAATATCAGTAACAGAAATAATAAAATATATTTATGGTTAATCGATAAATATTGAACTTAACTTTCTATTAAAGTTACATTATATATATTATTATAACATTAGATAACTTACCAATCTAGGGTCTAATATACATCTTATTTACATTTTAATGTAATTTTAATTTACATTTTATTTTAAAACATTATAACTTATTTAGAACTTACATTAAAAGGGCAGAGCAAATTTATGGTAAAATAAATATATATATATTGGACTTACACTATCTAATGTATCTCCAGCCAGGGCATATTTATTGTCCGAGTATTTGTCTTCGTAAATAGTTACCTCATCAATATGAAATACATCTTCTATAAAATTAAAAACAATGAAGTTTTCAAAACATACAAATTATAATTATATTTAATGGTACCATCTGCTTCTTCTAATTCTGCATTGTCAAAATTGCTAGCATATGAACAGTTAAAACCAAGAATAGTATTGCCTCGAGTGATATCTACTTCAAAATCTGGTTTAGATCTTAATGCAACTTTTTCTGCACCTTCAGTTTCTTCTTCAGATACTGAATGGTTAATGTTGAATTTGATAGCAATTCTTAAAAAAAAAAATTAAAAAAAAATATTAGTTGTATCAAAGTGCTATACTGTAGTTATGTGACATAATGCTTATGAATGCTTATGAATGGACAATTACTCAAAGACGGCCAAAAACATTGGTATATATAATTGAAGTAAAACTAGTATTCATAAGGAATGTACAAACATAAATATAGTAAGCTCTCAATTATATGTGGCTTTCTATGAAGCAGTATTAATTTTAGAATTACAAATCATGTACACATATGAAAATATTAACAAAAATAATATAGTTAAGTAGATAAATTGTAATACTAACGACCCAGAATTTAAACATCTGATTGATGAAAAAATAATTATCAGAACATCTTGTAGGAAACAGAAGTAGATAAATTACAAAAGTGAGTAAGCCAAGACAGCTTTGGAATATATTTACAGATTTATTTAGTATATAGAGGAAAATATTGTAATTAAAAGACTTTGTAGCAAAACATTATTTAAAAACTTTAAACACAAAAAAGAGGAGTTTGAGCAAGAAAAACCAAATATAAAATTTTTTTATTTAAAAATAAATGATAATAATGTAGTTATAATAATAATAAAATAATTAAATGTTAAATGCATATCCTCAGACCACTCTTAAAATCAAAACTTTCCCTATCCAACAAAGTTATCATAAGTACATAAAACAATAATTGGATTATTTTGGACAAACGGAATTCAGTTATGGGGAAATGCAAAGCCATCAAATACTAAAACGCTTCAGGCGTTTCAATTTATCTATAATAACCTATTCTCCCTGGTACTTCAAACAATAACTTTCACAAAGATTTAAAAATTCCTACACTCAATGAATTAGCAAAATCATATTACCCCAAATTTTACACAAACTTAAATTCTCACAGTAACTTATTAATAAAATAAATATCTTCCACCTCACTTCCTGGTTATGTAGATAGAGAACTCAAAAAACAATGGCCTACAGAACTATTAAAATAAAAACTAAAATTAAACAAAAATATCATAATACTTAAAATGTTTCTGGTCAGATGGTACTGCTGCGTGCCTGCTCATATATGTTAATCTCCTATCACTAACCATTATTTACCATAACATTTTCTTATTGTACTAATTACTGTATAGATTGTAAATTATTTAAATTAATAAAAAAAATAAATAAAAAATATATATTTTTATTAATTTTCAATTTTTTTCGGTTGTCTACACTGGACAAAAAAACCCTTTTTCACAGCATCTAATTCCACAGATAATCAAGAGTGTATTATATGTACTACTAATATAAAAGACATGTGCATCTATAATATAAATGTGTATGTAGGATTGTAATAATTATATTAATTGGTTTACTACCATTTATACCTATTTCAATTTTGTAAAAAATTACTGAATTTACCATAAAAAAAATATGAAGTGAAAAATATTAGTAATTAGTGTTGAACGTTAAAATATGTTAATATCCAGTTATATTTTGTAAATAAATAAAATAGAAAATTATAATTTTTTGATTGTTATTTATATGATGTTTGTTTTACTTTTAGCTTAAATTTAAAATCATAAGTTACATATGTAAATTATAAAATTATTAATTTTGTTTATATGTATATTTTTTTTGTTATATATTTTAATTTACATATTTTTATTTATAAATATATTACGTTTCATCAGAGGATTCCTTGATCAATTCAATTTCTGCTCCATCAGCGTTTACTTTAAATCCTTCAAATGTTTTAGGTAGATAAGTCTTGTCTGATGTTTGTTCTTCAGTTTTTATTTCGTTGTCTAAAAACTGTTGAAGTTCTTTTTCAACTAAAAAAATGTGATAATGTAAAATTGTTAATGCTTATATTATCCAGGAAGTGCACTTTAACAGTATTGTATCTGTAATATCTAATGAAAATACTGACCTGAAGAATGTGCAAGCCGAACATTGAAAGGTTTACATGTCTGTATCTTTCGAGTTGTAAGCAATAGCGATTGGCTAATGGGTGATATTGACATATTCCTAGTGAAGTTATTAATGGCCATGTTGGACATTTTTAAAGAATGTCCTAAGCATCTAATTAATGTATTCATGATGACAATTAATTCCAAAAAACAATACCGAAGTTAATAACAAAAACGATAAAAAAAGAATGCTTCTCGAGTAGTAAATGCAAAATGTTTGAACTCAAGTTAACACAGTGATGGCAATGTGATGAAGCATGTATTTGTTTCTATTCTGAATTCTATGGAAAAAATAGATATGTACATATATAATTTATACTACCCGTATTGCACATTGAATAGCAATATCAATTTTATCAACATAACCTCAAATTTTTTTTCAAAGCATTTTATCCACAGATTTTATCAAAGCATTTGCAGGCGAAATGCTGTTAGTGATAATAAAGAGAAACACAAAGAAGTTAAACATTTTTAGCGGTTAAAATTGTATTTTAAATTAAGACGATTGTCCTAATCAGTAGATAATACCGTGACTCCTGAGCTTCTTGTCAACCGCATTGGGCGAACTACAGCGGTCAATAAAATGTATGAAATTGATTTGGAATAATAATGTAGTCACATATTTCGGTTGCTACAACAATTGACAGAAATTCATATCATAGCTATAATTGTATTTAGACAGTTTAGGTGTAAAGAGAATAACAAATAATCTATGAACTAATAAAATAGTAATTGTCTGAGCATAATGAACGTAAAGTAGATATAGTAATGGTAAACATTTAGTAAAATAACTTATAAAGAATAATTTAGTCATATAAAATTAACATAGTAGACTACAGAGGTATAATCAAAACAAAAGAAAATGCGTGAAAATCGTAAGTTGACAATTAATTATAGCCTACATACATGATAAACGGTTAAAATACTGAGGGCTAAATTTAAAATACATTTTTTTTGTAGGTGACCTGTATACCTATTACTGTTATGAGATTAATATAAATCATTGTATTATGGCCTTTGGCATAACATCGAACATTTCTCTTACGCATGTAGCCATTTAAAGCCCTTCTACAACTTTCTAATTTAATTCCTATCGGCTAACGATAAATAAGCTCGTCCCCCAGACTATACGTTCATTGTTAATTTTATATAATTAAACACCGGTGAGGTCCAAATTACAGTAATATATTAAAAATAAATTGTAAAGTAATTATAATTTTGATGTTGATTAATAATGACAGTATTGAGTTTTCAGATCTTAATCATTAATTATAATTTAAAGTGGTGAGATTTAGAAGCAACAAACTATCATATCGATGGTGTTTTATTAGAAGGGCGTATACCACATAATTTAAATTGTTCAGGAGGAAAAAAAATAGTGTTTTTAAAAATGATGTCGTTGAAATCAGTTGATTTCGAACCTACCTTCATATAGAAAACATGTTGATAATTTAATTAAGCTTATCATTTTAATTTTTAAACATGCGTGAATTATATTTTTATTATTCTAAGTGATATTAGTCGTGGTATGCGCCCTTTTATAAACACAGATTTTGCGTTCACTTGTTCACATGAACATGCGTTCACAGTTTGATGATCTATTTCTTCACTATCTTCTTCATTAGGTAAAGAATGTATCATAATATTATTAATATGTGAATTATCATTGTGGCTTTAGTCAATAATATTATTTGATAGGCTGTTCTGTGCAATACATTCTATACATCTGCACTGGATGGTAAAAAAATTATTATGTTTTCAAAATAAATACTATCTGCTATTAATATATTATTATTAATAGTACACCTTACATTATCATTTACTACAATATTATTATTATTCATATTTTTAAAATCATTTAAGAAAACAAATTTATGAATATCATTTATATCTATACTACTTAAATTATCAATACCAATTACATTAAAATTTTCTTCAGTTATAGATGAATCTTTTATGATTTTTGAAGATGTAATAACTAACTTTAATATCTTTTTACTTCTTGACAAGCATGCTATGTTTAAATTAAAATAACAACACTAATATAATATCTAAAAACTTAAACAAAATACAAATACTATATTATTATGATATGTACATATATGAACACATGTACTTAGTCGATAGTATTATAATTATTATTTTATAACAATGTATTGATAACGATTAATAGGTAGTGATTATTTTGTATAAATTTAATTATGAAACGAACTATTATTAATTATTAATCAACGTTTAGTTAACTATTACATAATAATATATTTGATACTAAAAATACAATTTAAATTAAAAAAAGAAACGCGAAAATTCAAGTCTAATAAGTTTATTTGAAAAAATCACCATTAATTCCTGTAGCAAATGCCCTTTCAACATTTTCTGTATGAATATATTTTTTTCTTTTAGGGCTTTTGGATTTCTTGTAACTAATATACAGTGAATAATTTTCAATATTTTTAATCACAATTTTAACATTTTATGCGCTTATTTTTTCTAAAAATGTTGATACAGTAAACTCATTGTTCGATTTTATGTGGTATGCTTTAAATAAAACACCATTTGTATGATGCTTTATTTTAAAAATTTTCAAAAATAGCCTCATTATCCAATGTGAACAGTGACGTGATCAATATTGTTTTTTTTTTATAACTATCAAATTTCTTAGAATACAATTGTCCTTTAAAAATTGTCTTTAATAATTATATAAATAAAATAAAGTTTAATTTATAAAAATAAATTAATAAATGTATGAGTTTTGTAGAAATGTAAACTGTTAAGATATAAAAGAATGTTTAAGACATTAAAAATTATGTGGAAACGAAAACGACGAGTTAAATTATAAACAAGTAAATATGAAAAGTAAACAACAAGACATCATAATATATCAAATATTAATACAAATATTATTACAGGTGTTTTATTTTATTAAATTGCGCGTAAAGGGTAAATTAGAGTAACAATTTTAATTAGTTTATTCAATTATTTTTAATATTTAATTTGAATAAATTCATCTACTGAATTACCAAGAAAATATAAATATTAACATATTTGAAAATACTCACAAATAACTTTGATTAGATGATCGGTACCTAGGGAATAAAAACTTCTATAGTTGAAACTGAAATTTATTAACTATTTTCCATACTTTTAAATCTAAGTAAATTTATGCGTATGATATGATATAATTAAATGTATGATTATAAATTATTAATTTTACTTAATTGGTGGTTAAATCTTAACAAGTATTATGTTGATAAAAATAAATATTGGTTAAAAAAAATATTTCGTACATTTTTCTTCTGTGAATATTTGAAAACCCTTAAAAATATCAAAAATTATACTTATAATATTCTTTTTAATGTTCTTTCTACAAAGTGTTTACATTTTATTAATTAGTAGGTTTTGTTAAAGCATTTCTTAATTAAATATAGGTAAATAGAAAGCTGAGTAAAATAATTAGTATTATTTTTTTACTCTTTTTACAATAGAATATTATTTATACATTTTGACGACTCGAGTATTTAATTCGTTTATGATTTATTTTTTAATCAGATGTAAACTGGGTCAATAATATATTTGAATAAGAAATATTATACATTTTCTTTTAATATTTGTAGAACTATAATATATTAACACATAATTACATAATATTATTTTAATTATTGAACTATCATAGTACTATTAAAGGCTAATAAAAAATTAATCACATAATTGACTCACGTTATTTCCTGTGTTTATTTATATTTAATTCATTGGCTATGTAATACAATTTGTTTGTCTTTAATGTACATATTATTAACATAGTTCTTTATTGCTCTACCAACTTACAATTAAAAATAATTTTGAAAAAAAATATTTTTGATTTTGTGAATAAAATTATTACTTGTAATGTAATTGGAGTAGTCGACTTAGTTGTAAATTAGAGGTAAATTTCATTAAAACAACTTGGAAATATTTTTCTTCACAATTTGAATAAAAATAAAATTATTTTTAATATTAAATTACTTGCATATATTAATAATAATATTAACTTAATTGTTGACATAATTGAATATGAACTAAATTAACTAAACTTAACTGAGTAAAAAATATCATTAACTTGCCCAACCTTGCCATATATGACATAATACATATTTACACACCATTTTATAGTATATATATTGTTTTACAGATTTTATTAAATTATTATTCACATAAGGCTTAAAATAAATGAATATTAAATGATATACTTATTACGTAGTACGTAAAATTATGTAGTTAGGACGTAAAATCCATTGTATAAAATATCTGCTAACGACTATAAAAAGCTAAACAAGATGCACCGGAAATGTCCAATTTTAGTACCTTATAGAGTATACAGATCATCCATAAAGTTCAATTGGTATACGTTAAAAGTATGTCGGTTATGCAACTCTATTAATATATCAGGCTAGATATTACAATATATATTACAGAAAATTTAATTTCTACCAATATTCTGTTGAATATAAAAATTAATTTCACTCTCTTGTTTTGTAGAGCAGGTATCTATATTAATATTATGGATGTAGAACGACTATTACCCTGAGGGGAGGAAGTTCACCGACGACTGGATGTCTAATGGTTCAAAATACCGGTCAGGTACTCAGATCTCCAAAAATTTTTTTAAATGACTTACAATTAATACATTTTGATGTATGTAAAATCATTTCTAATTGGGCTTAATAATTATTTCGTCTATCTTTTACTTATTAAATTATAGTAACCTGTATTATAAGCATAGTTATAGTATATTATTAAGTATTTTTGTGGACCGTAAATTATTATCAATTGATTTTTAGATTTTGACCAAAGCAATGAATCTCTCTTGCTTCAAAGTTTTAGAATTAAAATCAAAATGTTCTTAAAAATCGCAAAAAAAAAAAACATGCTATTGTTTTGAATGATTATAATTTTAACTAAAATATAAAAAAAAGCAAAAGATTTAAAGCTCATAAAATTTAAAATACTTAGTACCTATGTTATTATTTTTGAATTCTGTATTATAGCCATTCAAATTGAGTTATTAATTATTAAGTACAGGGTCCGGTAAAAAGACATCCTATATTTTAAAAGGTAATTACAAATAAATAAACAATTAAACAGATCAATTTTATTAAATTATTTAAATTAAATACTATGACATTTTACATTAAATAAAATAATTACTTAGTTTTAAACATTATATCCGTTTAATATTGTCGTTTATTATTAATGTACTTACGAAGCCTTTGCCGGAAGTTTCTATTGCTCGTCGAGTCATTCGTGATGTAATGGCTGTCACTTCCTGAGTGATTGCCTTCTTAAGTGCTTCCAAAGATGTTGGGCGATGAGTGTAGACTTGGACCTTTAAATGTCCCGAAAGAAAAAAAATCACAAAGTGATAAATTTGGGGACCTTGGGGGCCAGGTGATATCTTCTCGTAGAGAGAAGATATCCTGGAAACATCTCTTTCAAAATGGTTAATGGACGCCGTGAAGTATGTGCTGTGACTCCATCTTGTTAGAACCAGATTTCTTCGTGGTTCCTAGTAAACTGATTTAAGTTTGGTCGGAGAAAGGTCTCAATCATGTGACAGTAGCGATCCGCATTAACTGTAACTTTTTGCCCATTTTCTTTGAAAAAATCCTATTCCTATTCCTTTTCTTTTACGACAAACGCGTGGTGCTCACCGTGCTACAACATTATGATTACTGAAAATTGCACATAAACTTCTATCTATCTATACCCGGAATACCGTTTTTTCTGTAAATAGCTTTAAATATAAACGTCTAGAAATACGGGAGGTTTTTTTTCCGGACCTTTTATTAATTTATAGAATTTTACCTACAACCGGACAATATTTAAATTTATTATAAACATATTATAATGTTTGAATATCAATAAATTCACTAATTATGTATTTGATAATAGTCCTTTTGAGTGAGTGATTTATGCGAAACATGATTTAAGTTTTAAAATATCCTATAATTTCATTAAAATAATTTTGAATACATTTTATACTTATATCATTATTACTTTTAAATAAATTTAGTATATGATTATAAATAAATTGAGTTTTTTACAAAAATAAGATTAATTTTATACAAAATAATCAAATAGTTTAGAAATAATTTTAACTAACTATTGTTTGATTATCATTCAAATTAACCCTAGTTCATTTAAATGGTGATACATATATTATTCACAATATAAATAGAAAACGTCGATTTGATTAGTGCGTGTCTAGTGCATTATGAATTTTTGGTGAAACGGTGAATACTAAGTAGTAAGTAGTCGTGTCACAAAGAATTTTTTTCAGAAACAAAAGAAAGTTTATTATAATTTTATTACTTCCCTCCATAGTAGGTTTATTTACCAAAACAAGTATACAATATACTTAAAATGACTACGAATAGTCCTGTTGATCCTTTTAAGGACATAGTGTGAAGGATTGACACAAAGGGGGAAAGTTTCTAGACTTAATGGCGGGTTGGTACCATTACGCGGTGTTTTGTTGTCACAAAGATTGTTTGTAATGGCTCTCTCTCTCTCTCTATATATATATTATATCTAACTATGATTAGTAATGTACAAGAAAAAGTAGCAGAAAAAATATCAATGTGATGACCAATTGACCTCTTTGGCTATTTTGCCGTATGTTCCTTGGTTTTTATATAGAATCACCATCATTCGGGTAATGAACTCAATATTAATGACATATTAATCATCGTTAAAACTTCAGACGTCTACTGTGCTTATATATCAATAAAACGTTACATTATATTTTATGCGTTGACGAGAATTATTTAATGAAAAACATTTTAATATAATCTTATTTGTTCATCACACACTCATTGTTAAGGGTTGAATTAAAAAGATCAATATCATAACTATGGTTTACACAAGTATTATACAATTGTTTATATATACACATATTATTAATACATTAAAATTATTAAATACATATACTAATAAATTATATGGGTTTAAAAGATTTAGTACTTTAATATTTTTAATATTTTCAAAATACTTCATAATTCTACAATAGATACAGATATATGAAATATATCTGATAATAAATTATATACACATAATGATATAATTTTGGGTGAGGAATAGTTTTACTTACATATCAATAATATTGAATATAATATATATATTATGTAGGTATTGACTTATTTAATAACTTATAGATTAATGTACAACCCAATAGATCCAAATATCAAATATCGTAGTGTACTTAATGTTTCAGGTTTGAACATTTGAGCATAATACTTAATGTATGTTTAATCGTTTATTGTGTATATTATTAAATAATATTTTCAATTTCATTTGTATTAAATTTTTTTTTTATAATAGATAGTTTTAATATTGTATTTTATAAAATTAAATGGCTTAGTATATGATGTATACTACGTAAAATATTGATGGATTATTAATAATTACTGTATTGTAGTTTGTTGTATATCCAGTCAACAATAATTTAAATTTTATGATAATTTGAAATAATTTAATAACAACTCAACCAATATATGAACTTCCATTTTGTATATTTGTCTTGTTTAATATATTTTGTGGAAGTTTACTACTTATGAAAACTTAATATTTAAAAGTGGATAAAACATAAGGTTTGAGTGCTCGTTAATTATTACATCTGTTATATGCATGTGTTAAAAAGTTCCTCCAGGCCTCAAATTAAATTTATTTGTAAAATTAATGTTACTCTTAATGAACATTATCTACATAAGTACAATTAACTAGAAAAAACCGTCATTTTTTATCCAGTCAGAAAATTTAAATTTTTTTCATAGTATATTAATACTTTATAGATAATACATTGTAAATAAACTAGTCTAAAGAATATAAAGACTCTTATTTTATAATTTTTTTCAATTATTGTCAAAATTTTCATCTGCAGAAAGTTGTTAAAAAATTGATTGACGAAAAATAATCAAATATTCTAATATTAAAATTTTTAACACTAAAAAAAAAAAAAATATGTTTGACTGTAAAATATTTTATTATTTAATTTTTACAGTAACTGTTATATTGTTATATTTATACATTTTCGACAGTAATAAAAAAATATTTTAAAAATAGAAAACTGATATTTTTAATTACTAAATTACATCTCATTTTTTATACTATTTGCATAAAACGCACTACCCAACATTTTAATATAAAAAAAATTAAATCCTGTCAATCCCATCGTCCTCCTATAGATTTTTGAATTTCTGCAATAGTTTCATAGAGAATTACTCTCATACATTACATATTCATAATTAGGTCAAAATCACCCAACTTTTATTTTTAAATTTGATGGTTTGTAAAAATTATACATCACTATATTGCAGTAAAGTGGGTAAAGCGAGATAATTACCTAATATACAGGAATCGTGATTAAATTCTTACAAGAAAAAATATTTAATATCATCGGCACATTAAAATTCTTAAGCAATATAATTAAAAATATTTAAAAAACGTTGGATTACGTTTTAAAAAATACTACAATATAGTTGCGTCTAAGATAAAAATTTGTTGGCGCGTGCGCACGTTATAGAGTTCGTCTAATGCAACCCACTTTCATGATAAATCCCACTGGCTAAAACCAGACGGTTTGTTAGTTACTGTAGGCAGTGTGTTGAAGACATTCATATTTAAAACACACAGGTCTAGATGATGTCTAGTAATCTTTAGTATAATATAAGTATTTTTTTTAATAAAAATTAAATTATATTTGTTACACGGTTTGTTTTTTTATAATTTTATTATTACTTTGTTGCACATGGTTTTCATCTTCACCTAATAAATGTTTTTGGGAATTACTATATTGTCGTTTTAAAGGTAACATTCGAATTTTTAATAAAATTGTATTACTTAATTGTTTATTACCTAGTGCAATTCATAGTAATATTCTCATTTTAGAGTTAATTATTACTAATAAGAACATTTCGATATTTAAAATAATAAAGTAAAATAACGTATTTTTACGGTTTTTTTTGTGATAAAAATGTAATACCTATTTATAAATAAATTGCTTGTATAATATTTTTTAACTAATGCATGATTTAATATTAATATTTGATTATCTGTAAATATTTATACTTAGAATATAATTATTAGTTGCTAATAATTATTGGGATACTATATTTTTAGTATTATTACTTTAATAGTACTAAATATAGTAATTTGATGTTAAATAATGTGATTTTGTTTAGAACAGTACATACTATAATGTAATTTAATTTTATCAAAATATAATAATCAACAAGTAAAAGTTATTAAATATAGATTATAAAGATATAAATTTTGATTATTTATTATTTACGCGTGTGTTTGTGTATAGGACATATATATTCACTTACTAATCTGATAAATTAATATTTTTGTTTTGTTGAATGAATTCTTGTTGTAATTTTAACATGACATTATTTAGCGTAGTAAAAATTAGTCATATAAAAAATATAAAACAAAAAAAGATTTGATTTAGTCTACTTGAAAAAAAAAGTAAAATATAGTCAAAATATATATTCTAATAGGTACTTTACGTTATGTAATTTTATTAAAAAAAAAATATTTATTTTAAGTGAAATATATTAATAAACAACGCATTGTTAACTCGTTTTAATCAACGACAACAACCTCCGTTTATTATAGTAATATGTAATGTTGTCGAAAACTAATTATAAAACATTGAGCTTTTAAATTCCAACTCTCTCAAGGTAATAACAATAAGTTAATTTTATTTTAGATATATACACAAAAAACTTATCACTGGTGGTATGTACACAGTTTGTGTGTTTATGTGTTATTATGGTTCGTTTATATAAACAATTAAATTGTAACATTATTATATATGTGGATAATTTACTATCTGTAGAATATAGGAAAAAAAATAAAATTTGCAATTAAGATTTATTTTATATCATACATAAAATCAAATTAAAACAATTTTTTTCAATTCGAATTGAGTTTGAACATACCAAAAACATAATGGTACCTATAAAAACATTTATTAGCTACTTGACCGGTACTTGGCAATAATATAGTAAGCACATTGAATATGTTGTATACATTGAACATTAAACACACATCTTACATATGTAATAATTGATTATTTTTAATTGTTTTATAAAAATGTAAAAGTATAAAATTAATTCACAACATCTATTGTGTACACCATGATGTACAACAAGTGTACCTAAATAACCTATGTCATAATTCTTATAATTTTAAATAAATTCTTCAGCAATAAAGGGTTTATTCATTTTTAAATAATATATATATGCCTATGTTTGAAATTAATAATAAATATCCTATTCATTACAAATATGAGCTTTACAACTAGACCATAAATTGTAATCGAATATACCATAGTATAACTATATCATTTTAATAATAACGTAATATATTTACCAGGAAATTATTAAAAATTTGCAGTTATTATTTTTAATATTTCTAAAATAATAAAGGTTTTTTTTTAATTTAAAATAAAATAATGTTTACAATCTTTGTATTTTTAAAATGTGTAAAAGTTTTAAAAAGTTATATTATAAAAATGAATGTTATACAAATAAATAATTGAAAAAATTTCCTTTAGCTAAAAAAAGTTAATAATAAACATTAATGCAACACCAAAAGTGAAAGTGAAATTAAATGATTGATAAAATATATGATGTATGACCAAGTTAAATAATATATTTTGAGGTTTCAAGTGTAGGAAATAACACATTATTTTATATATCATAAACAATGTTAGAATAGTATAACAATTCAATTTTTTTCTTATTTAATGAGTGATACAAAATTTGATTTCGATTTCAAATAAGTTTAAATATGACTTCAATTTTAAGTATAATATATTTGAACCATCTTATTAATAATTTTAATTTAAAAGAAAATTACTGTTATACTGTAGCCATTAGTATTTAAATATTTAATCGAAATCGTTTAAATGAAAAAAAAAAAAATTAAAATTAAAAGAAAAATTAACTATTGTAATTTTAGAAAGTTCATGCTGTGATAATTGTGTGAAATTCATCGAGTATAAATATTTATCATATACCTCATAAAGCATAGGACACCGATTTCATTGTAAGTTTGTCGGCAATCAGTTTTATTCTTAATAGATAGCCGACATAAGTTGGAAGGAGGAAATCATATTAGGTATGAGATGAGCATATCGACATAATTTTTTAATTGTCCCACAACGTTCAGCAATACTAGTCATGTTTCCTGTGCGTGTTTCCTCTGAAAAGACGTAACCTTTTTATTCTCTTTCTCAGGTTTGCACAAAGAAATAAATTTGTTACACTCTTTAAACCAGTTTCAATAATATAAATTACGGCGGGTAGATTATTATAAAAACACGAAAGAACTATTTGATATTAATAAAAACCAGTTTGTTAATTTTGGTCATAATTTTATTTGTATGTTTTCTATCATTTATCATTGTTGTATGTAGGTATACACACAATAGTTTATATTTTTTTTAATTTTTATAGGAATGGTATTTAATATTTTTCAACCGTAATTACAATTTTAGTTCAAAGGGAAATGAAGAATGCATTTATTTAGTCCCAATTATAAAGTGTTCTTATTTTTTTTTTTTTTTTTTTTTGTAGATTCTTCAAAACATGACAATTATGTGGTGTGTAAGTCTAGTTATTTGCATTTCATTTTTGCTGACATGTGCCAATACCGCAGGCATCTTGTATCCACGAGAATCGGAATCCCGGGAAGTAAAGTCGTTAGATGGCATGTGGAACTTCAGACTATCTCTTCCTGATCCCCTCGTTGGTTTTAAAGAACGTTGGTATATGAAGGACTTGAGCAAGGTACGTTTAATTTAATTTTTCATATTACATTATACGTGGTATTAAAGAAAAAAAATTAAATTGAACTAAGATATTTTAATTATTTATTATACAACGATACATATTTTAGAATATGTTTAGAAGGTTATTTTGGTTTTTTATTGACAATATAATATATGATGATACTAAATGATTCACCAAACACTTAACGTTGTATTATTTTCCTCAGAATTTTTGATTTTACTTAAACTATATGAATACTATTCTCAAAATATTGAAAATACCTATAATTAAACAAATAATATGTGGGCGTTAGTACATATTGAATACGTATTTCAGGGTATTCGCCATTCGGTACACTATTAAATCCGAATGACATGTAAACATTGTAAATAATTTAATGTCAGTAACATCTGTGTAAAATAAAAGTTCGTTGTTAAATCACTTGAAGAAAAATATACACTAATTTATTACTATATATAATAATTATAATGTTCAATAAAATACTGTACCCATTCATTAATATACTTCTTGGGTATTGAGTGAAGCTGGAATATATGTATGGGTACACAGTATTATAAAATAATATACTAAGACGTTAGATAATTATTCTTTTGTGCATATATTTTTTTATCAGAAATTAATAAACAAGAGTTATCGTTTAATATCCTGTAGAAAATTAACGAAATAGCAGTTTTAGTTGCAGCAATAAAATGTAATCCATGCAACACTCTGGATTATTCATAAATAGTACACTTCGGTTACTATAAATTAACAGCAGGCGACTGATATTGGTATTTAACCTTTAGTTATATTAACATAAGAATTGTTATGTTTCTGTTGGATTATGTCCATACATTTATTAAGATATCATACACAACATTTTTTTTTTTTTTTTAATCATGGATTTGAAAACAATTAACCTCAATAAATTTTATTTAATTCCATTTTAATTTTTTATTTTTATTTAATTTAATTATTATTCATATAATGGTAAATTTATTCGATTTAGCGATGATTTTTATTAGGTATGTAAAATAAAATATTATGATTAAACGATGAGCCTGGGCTGGCTATTCAAAGAACAAAATATGATTAAATATGATAATCGGTGCTTCCGATTTATATGATTTTTCTTCATTGAAGAAAAAAAATAATATTCTTTTAATCACATTATTTGAGTAAGTACAAACTCGAACACAAATGATTGTTTTTATTTTTTATTTATTGTTATTATTGTTTAATACATAGTTATTTTATATTTTAAAATAAGTTCCTACTAGTTTAGTTGCTAACATCCTAAACATAAACAAAGAAAATATATAAAGAATGTATTATGTGTATCATTTTATTCTGCAAATTATTTCATGTTTCAGCCAAGTGGATTGTTTGTAAAACATTATCTGAGTAGACATTTTCATTAGTTTTTATCTTATTTTGTAAGATTGTTTTATTTTATGGTCAATCGAACAAATAGTATTTTATACAATTTTCTTTATAAAAGCCCGTTTTGACAGAGGTTCAAGTAGTCCTCATTATTGGACGTTATTTAAGCAGACGTTGTTGAAGTTATTTTTTAAGGAATAACGTGTATTTTACACAGACAATTAAAATCTATAATGTCTGTGACGAAAACAATCTTTCCAATGTGTGTATAATAATTACATTAGTAATGCAATTTGTCTGCCTATTCATACCTACTTAATTGCTGTGACACGCGGCTACATGATTATCTGTTGAAATGAGAATTAGAAATATATTCTATATAAATACTCTTATATGCCACGTGTATTTTAGACTATAAAAAATAGCTATAATACCATGGCTATCTTATGAACATAATATAAGCTATTTGTACTTTTGCTATTTGTGTTATTTTCACTGTAATAAGTATGTTAAATAAATTTCAGAAATCACACAATAATGGATTATAAGTGATACCTTTGTGTTGAGTTCGAGGTGTTGACCTGTACGGTCACATTTGCCATGTCATTTGTCTATTAATCGTACAAAGTTTGCATTATTAATGCTACAGTGTTATGTGTGTACATAAAATAACGCGTGTCGAATTACTTATATGGTTGGGTTTGTATATAGTTGTTTTGAAGTTTGAACTGTAGAAGCATATTAAAATATTATACAATAGTTATCGATGAACGTTTAACGTTCCAATTTTAAATTGAAATGCCCATTTGTAACGGAATATGTGATTGAAACGAAGTAAGAGAAAATAATACGGTAACGATAAGGTGTGTAACTTTTAAATTTGTATCATAGCTTATATTTGATATTTTATATGATAAAAATAATGAACTGTTATAAGTAACCGTCAGTTAGGATATACTAGCTTTATTTTAATTTTTTTTTTACCTGTTCGTTATCTAAGTGTTTACTACTTTATCGCTTGTTGTTCATAATGAATATAAACACAATAAATAATTTCATATCCTGATAATAAGATCTCATAATAAAATAACTGTATGTATTATTCGATGATTTTTCTCTAATAGAACATATAGTACATAATTTGTAAATTATTTTAAATTGGATAGTAATAAGTGGACATAACAAACGAGTAGGTACTAGAGATGTAATGTATATTCGAATAATTGAATTATTCGAATATTCGAATATTCAACTTCGAATAGGCTTGCCGTTAATAATTCGAATATATAAATAATTGAATATTCGAACATTCGAATATCAGTATTCGATGCTACAATACCTATTATTATTAAACGTTTTGTGTTTCGCGAAAACCTAAACAAATAATTTTCGTTATGTATTGTATTGTAAAATCGAATACTGATATTCGAATGATCGAATATTCAAGTATTCGAATTATTTACACTGGACCTATTCGAGTTTGAATAATCAAATATTCGAATATTCAAATAATTCCCATCACTGGTAGGTACACTATTTTTCTATTAGAAAATATTGTTGGAATCTGATGCAAAACAACAAATTTTATTCGACTTTAAAGAAGCTTTCTTTTTTAAATCGAGAAAATAATTAATAATATGGTTGTAAGATTGGTGTGTTTTAATGTCTTGTATAGTTTTATATAAAAACATTTAGAATAAAAGTGCTAGATTATAACGATTGCATAATTTTAATAAATACACACAATAGTAATTTTAATATATGGTTTAAAAATATGTCCAATTAATAGATATATTAATATTTATCTAAAATTAAAAAACGTTGTAAATATTGTTATGAATACATTATATACAGTTTCGTGTACTAATGTACAAAAATAGTTTTTAATATGCAATCTGACCCTAATATACAAATTTATATGTTAATACTTTAATAGTGAATAAAATAAATAATATAAACGTTAAATAGTTTTATGTACAACATCTGAATAAATTTTTGTAAATTCGGTTGCAATAGAAAGCGTATAGCAATAATTCCGTTTAGAAATAATCTTTCGACACGTACAAGTAACGACATTGCATATACATAACTGCCTTTTAGTATAATTCGAATTTAGCGATTTTATTACCAGTTATTATTACATAATTGCTGTTTTCATACAGTATATAAACATGAAGAAACACTTATAAAATGTTAAACAGATGTTAATTTATAATGTAAATAATAAAAATAATAAGATATAAATGTATTCAAAATAACTCAGATTTGTAAAATATTAATTACTAATTAGTGAAAATATTATGTGTAGAAATACATTCTTACAGGTAAATTTTTTTCAATGAAATATATTTTGACTAACTGTACTTGTTTTTTTTTAGTCGGGTCCAGTAATTCAAATGCCGGTGCCCAGTAGTTACAATGACGTGATGGTGGATAAAAAAATCAGAGATCACGTCGGGTTAGTTTGGTATGATAAGTCGTTTTTCGTGCCTGAATCCTGGAGGCAGCAGGGTTTTAGAGTATGCTTAAGATTCGGCAGTGTTCATTATGCAGCACAAGTAGTAAGTGAAATATTTTATTAGTAATGTTTGTAGGATAATACTTATATCATACCAAAAAATAAAAATAGTTTACTTTTGAATCTGATCATGATAACGTAATTTATTTAACTACATAGTATATAGATTTATTTACAATTTTTTTCATTTATATTTTAAATTTTATTTGATTTTCATTTAGACTTTGTAATTAAAAGTTTACAATATATATATATATATATATATATATATATATTAAATGGAAACTTTTTATGTGTAAATATATTTTATTAACTAAACTTGTACTTATAAGTAATTATATTATATTTTTCTTATATGAGATTTAATATCCTTAATACTGTAATACTAATCTTATTAAAATATATGAACGAATCATAAAGAAAATTATTACTATTTTAAATATGAAATTATCTGTAAATATAATATATATATGGAATTAAAATTTTATAATTTTGTGTAAAGTGGGTGAATACACATTTAGTAATGAATCATGAAATCGGACATTTACCATTTCAAAGGGATATCACTTCCAATTTAAAGTTTGGACGACTGAATAGAATAACCGTAGCTGTGGATAACGTTTTATTATCAACTACTATACCACAAGGATCATTACAAAATATTACTACGTAAGTAATTTTATTTATAAAGTATTTTTATGTACATATTTATGGTCATATAATAATGTTGCTTAAACACGTTTTACATAATTGCTTGAAAACAATAATTTAACAAAATATTTATAAATAATTGTATTTCAAAAAAAAATAATACCTCGCCTACCTCGGTTTGATTCCCTATGAGATAATTCAAACATTTTGCTTGAGAAATAATTTTTTTCCATCTTTGTAAAATTATACTATCTTTTGAATAATACATAACAAATTGTGAAATAAACAACTTAATAATCATACCGTTATTTTGTTTGAGCTTATTTAAAATACAAAAAAAAAAAAATCAAAGATTGCACATGTCAAACAATATATTATACACATTACGAAATATTATCATAATATTATACACGTATGTTTTGAAATAATAGTTTTATTCGTGTCTATAATTGTAGGAATAATGGACCTAAGACTATTCAATCGTACACATTTGACTTCTTCAACTATGCAGGTATTCATCGGTCCGTGTTTCTGTATACAACTCCTATTGTGTACATAGATGATGTAGATGTGACAACTGATTACACTGATGATGGCGTAGGTAAAGTGTATTTTTCTTTATCTAGATAAGATGCATATTATATTTTTATTTTATTTTTATTTATATTCATTATCTTCTTATACAATTTAAGAAGTTACAAAGAACAAGAATTAACAAAAAAATTATAATATTAAATAATTTATCAAATTTTTTTTATCGAGTTTTGTTAATAGTTTATCAGATTTGGCAGTTCCATTAATCGATAGTAATTTGTTATAACATATAGGCATATTTATATTTCGAAGTATAAATATGGTAAAAATATGATACATATTTTAGCAATATCAATTTTAATTAGTGGGATAATTTATTTAAATGTATTAAAATTGGAAAATGTTTATACTATTTACATTGATACAAACAAAATAATAATAATATTATCTGATAAATGGATTAATTAAGTTTTGATTATCATATTATAAACTATAAATTTATATAATCATCATAAATATATAATGATAATAGTGATCAATTAGCTATTTCAAAATTAACTAGATAAATTATAGCTGATAACTAATAAGGTATATTATTTTCAACTTGTATTTTAGTGAAACATAAATTATATTTAGCCATATGAGAAACTTGATACCACACCATTCATTAATTTACTATTAAATAAATCATGCGGAACTACCTTTTTTTTCTTTTTAAATTGTTATATTACAGTTCAAGCTCCAGAACTGAGACGATTATTTTGTGTTACCTTTAAAATGTATATAAATTATAAATACTTATATTAAATATTATTGACCACTTATAGATATTATAGAACAATTAAATTCATAGGTATTTGAAATGTGTTGAGTATATAAATTAGTTGTAAATTTCATTTTAAAATTAAAAATATTAATTTCTAAGTTCCATAATGTTTTGGAAAAATTATTGATATTATCCAAAAGATCTGCAGTATACGTACAACATTGGAAAATGACATGTTTAATTGTTATATATTCGTTAGAATGTATGTATCGAGTAAATTTATTCATTGTGTGTGAATAGGTTAAAAAAAAGTGACCGATTGTTATTTTCGTGGATCATTTTATTTATTATTGCTTCTTTTGATTCTTTTTAATTTTTTTGATATTGGTTTTTCATCCCAAGAGAGCAGCGTGATCTTTAAATGTTGGTTTTGATTAAATTTGAGATTTATTAGGTAGTAAATATTTATAACTTTAAAATAAATCCATTTAATTGAACTGTAATACTATTTAAAATATAATCAAAAGCTAGTAAAAATAAATAAATAAATAGCTGACATAAGAGTTAAAGATGTACATTTTAATCATGTCTAAGATTTTAAATGTAGCAGACTTGTGTACAAAAATACCTTCTCATTATTGATTGATTATTAATTTTTTTTTCATGTGTATAATTTCATAATTTTAAAGAAATAATCCAATTTACCGTACAATGATAATATAATGAAATATTTCATTAACTAGAAAAATACATTTTTTAATATTTACTTTTCATATTCATTCATCTACGTAGTGTTTATTGTATAATATAAATTTTTTAAAAATTTGTTTATTTATTACGTTTATATATAATTTTACATTACGTCATTTAATCACAGTTGATGTAACATACAAATCTAACTATATTAAATGAGTTTTTTACTTGGATATACATTTTTTATTTTTATTTAATATTTTACTACTACTCTTAGATAATAGTTATTTAAAAATATATTTAGTGACGTTTTAATAATGTCCACTTATGGGTACATTATATTTCCAGGAATAATTTATTACAAAGTACAATATGGAGGATCACTAAGTAGTGGTGAAGTTTTGAATTGTTCAATAACGGTGTTCAATAACGAAAATGTACGAGAAAAGTTCACTGTGATTACAAATGATGCAGAGGGCCTTTCGGGTACAATCGAAATTGAAAATGTACAACTTTGGTGGCCGTATTTAATGAATGAAGTGTCTGGATATATGTACACGTTAGAGGTAAATTGATTAGTATTATATTCAATGTACACCATGTGATGGGTATCAATATACACTTTTACATCGAAGCTGTAAGCTATATTGATCCATAATTTACTTCAAAAAAAAGAAAGGATATTATGTCTATAGCGGTTAAAAAAATATCATAGGTATGACTCGGTATTATAAGAAAGTTGTTTGATCAATGTATTATTCTAACTACATATATAGGTTTATGTTATTATTACTTACAATGCAATGTGTTTACAATGAAAATAGATAATATTGAGCTTACACGTTTAGATTAGACTTTCAACCACTTGGAACATGGACGACTTGTACCGATTACCAGTTGGAATTCGAACGATCAAGTGGACGAATTCATCGTTTCTTATTAACAACAAACCAGCATACTTGAGAGGGTTTGGACGACATGAAGATTCAGATGTAAATACTGTCACGTTTCTGTGTAGGCTAGTGAAATTTATAAAGACGCTTGTTGAATAGATTAGAGGAAAAGGAATGGACTATGCCCTGGTGACTAGAGATTACGACCTTATCAAGTGGATCGGAGCGAACTCTTACAGAACTTCCCACTACCCGTACGCAGAAGAAATCATGGATTTTGCCGACAAACACGGCATCATGGTCGTTGACGAGTGTCCCAGTGTTGATACAGAGTAAGGAAAATAAGATTTAATAGTTTTATTTACTAAGCTTTAGAATATTACATAATTTCAGTACGGTTGATAAATTGTCCAGGAATATTTAAAGTTATGAATATTATAATCTTTATTTTCATGATATTTGTAAAAATGCTTCAATATCTTTCCAGATCAAATAATTAAGTATTTGTTATTTTATTTTTTCATTTTTTTTTTACATTCATATCGACATATCAAAGTATTCAAGTGATAGCTGGTACATTATACTAATCCATTAGAGTTTATGAGTTGTAAATTAAAGGTTACATGCTTTTTGCTTTATCATCATCTTCGATTTAGTTTAGTGTTTTGTTATTTTAAATCTACACTATTTCGTTTATTAGTTATACTGTTATTTTTGATTTTGAATTGAATACATATTGTACGAATAAGAATATGTAATTAAAAATATAAGGTTTTTTTATAATTAATAAACACAATTTTTTATACTCTTTCAGTAATTTTTCTGACAAATTGTTGAAAAAGCATACCATGAGCTTAGCAGAACTCATCAAAAGAGATAAAAATAGACCTAGTGTTATCATGTGGTCCATTGCAAACGAGCCACGGTCAGATCATAAAGACGCCGATTCATATTTCAAGTAAGTCAACTCCTTTCACAAATAGAATAGTTAACATATTATACACAAATGTTAGAGTGATGGTATAGTTTAGTCTTCCTATAGTTTACACGTCATATTCGATTGCATTGTAATAAAACTAATGAAGGATCTAGTATGAATGCAGTTCTGTTTAATAAATACATTGACCAACGAGGTGATGTTTAAAATGGTTTTTTCTTTATCATGGAAAACACTTTTGACAAATCGCACAATGACGTGAATAATTGATTGAAAATAACGTCATGTTTAACAAATTAAGAACTATATTAAATTATGTAATCTATTTATATTTTTGATTGCATATATTTTATAGTTTCAAACTCGTTTATTCACCTGTTTATTGCAATTTTTTTTTTTATTTTAATACATGAAGACTATGTTATCACAGTAAATTGAACATTTAAATTAATCATTTTTTAAACAGCCAACTAACTAACCAAAATTGTATAAATAGGTACATAAAATTGAGTAATAAAATAAAAACATCAGTCCTGTTATAATTTAAATTATATTATAGGTCTATAAAAATATAACATATTATTTATACAGCTTTACTAGTGTTAAATTTTATTTTCTAAATTCTCTGTAATAAATTACCTGTTAAAATGTCTTTAATAATGAAAAAAAAACATTTTAAATTAAAATTTGAAAATATTTTATAATGAACATTAGATTTAAATTTAATATATTTCGTACAATACAGCCTATTAACTACGTTAATAAAATTATCAAAAAATATATTTTTAATGAATAATATTTGATTAACATAATTGTCTTAATTTTTTAGGAAATTTTTTTACTTGTTTTCTGTTCCGTAGGTATTTGGTGAACTTTGTCAAAACTAAGGATAAAACACGCCCAGTTACTGCCGCTCTGAACAAATGGTTCAGCATTGACAGGGCGGTGAGTGACTATACAAACTATACATACCGTTACAAAACTATTATTGCAATATTTTAATATTATTAAACGTTGCACTTGTGTGTTATTTCAACTAAGCTTACATCACTACTACGCTATAATAATACATATATTAATGAATAGTAGAAATAGTTAGCTTTTAAAACATCTGTCGAAATAAATTACAGCTTTACATTACATAATACTTCTCCTAATACTCACAATGTACCTACATATACATACCTAACAATATAATATTTCTTGTTGACTGTTTTATGCATTCTTGAGCGTATGTTAAAATTGTTTTTTGTAGATCCGTAGCTATTTATGCCAAAACCTTAGACAATACGCGGCCCATAACAGCAGCTATTGCGACAAATGTTGAAACTGATCAATTGGTGAGTGGAAACACTTTGGCCGGAAATTCTTCATGCTATCTATTCTTTTATATGCTGAAAACAAATTATATAATAATCCCAAGTGCTCGACGAATTATTTCGGATTTGCAATGATATAATTTTTATAGGGTCAACACTTGGACATAATTGGTTTCAATAGATACAGTGCTTGGTATACTTTACCAGGTCATACGGAGATCATCAAAAGCAGAGTTGAAGATGAAGCGACCAAATGGCACGTCAAACACAACAAGCCGGTTTTCATGACGGAATATGGAGCTGACACGATGCCAGGTTTGCATATGGTATGTAGTATACTGATCAAAAGCCGTATTTTATATATATATATATATATATATATATATATATATTTATATATAGATCATATAATTGGACAAGTTAAATATGGCTAATGTTTTTAATTTTTTTTTTCAGAATCCCTCGTTCGTTTGGTCTGAAGAATATCAGGTAGAATTAATGGCTGAACACTTTAAAGCGTTCGACATACTTCGAAGTAAAAAATTTTTTATTGGTGAAATGATATGGAATTTTGCAGACTTTAAAACTGAACAAAGTGAGTACATTTCAAATATTTCAATCTTAACGTTTATTATTTAATAAATGTTTTGCGATCTCGAGTTGTAAAATGTTACGAATATTCAGTGCCATAATAATTAGAGGATCAAAAATTATCAATGTTATCCTCTCTTGATCACAATTTTGAAATTAAAAATGTGCAGGACGAATAAATAAAAATAATTTTTTTTGTGCTTGCAATTTAAAAAAAATGTAATATATGTCTAACAAAATGTTAGAAAATTTAATGTAATAATATAATTATTATAAATTATTATGTCTATATCAAAATCGTATTTTTTATTCTTCTGAGCTTTTATATTGTTTATTATAATGCAGATTTGATAACTTTTTTTATGTAATATTTTTAAGTAATGAGATTGCATTGTGTCCAATTTTGAAAAATAACAGTGTATGAAATTGGCAATACAAAAAATTATATGACTCTTGATTTTATTTTGTCCGTACAATTTGTAGGAGACAATATTATTTAAACTATAAGCTTGTTATTGATGAATAATTTATAGCGTTTATATTAATAAGCAAAAAAAATTATGCACATATTACTGCTATTTTTATCAAAATGTATAATACATAGTAAAAAGTTATAATCAATACCTTGACGAGCGATGATTTATACATTCCTTGGATATTTTTGCAATAATTTTTAACAATGTAGTGTTTGAATTAGTTTCTGTATGTTAAGTTGTATTACTGTTTAGGTGTCACGAGAGTAGGAGGTAATCGGAAAGGCGTCTTCACACGACAACGAGAGCCCAAAGCATCAGCACATCATTTGAGGAAAAGGTATTGGAGTTTGGCTAATCGTTTGGATGGTGTACAAGTTCCTAGCAACATACAGTCTTACGTGATGGGTAGTGAATGCCAAAATAACGTTGAGTTATAATAACGTTTTTAAGCAGTAGTAATTGTTGACTATGTTTATCTATGTCTTCCTATAAATATGAAAAAATAACAAAACCGTTTTTAATAATTATATTTTAATAACTAATATATTACAAAGAAAATGATAACAATTATTCAAATCGGCACCAAAAAAATGTGCTAAAATAATAATTATTATTCATTGATTCGAAAAATGATAATTTTTTTCTCCATTATTTAAATTAAAATAGTTAATGTAATTACAATAATATTGTTTAATTTAATGGAATTATTATATGATTAAAAGTATAAGACTGCATAAAATATTATTTTTTACGACGGTAAATATTTAAAACTACATAATTTTAATTTAATTATTTAATTAATTAATTAATTAATTAATTAATTAGTAATTCATTTTTTTTTATTAGTATTTATTCCACTACATTGTGTTCTACATAAATGAAATTCATTTTTGGATACAGATATTGATTGATTAAATCGCTATTTAAATTCTATAATGATTAGTTTGATTATTATTATTATTACTATTATAATTATCATTAATACAATAAAAGTTATTAACCACGAATATATTGAAACATATTTTGTGTGATACAATGGTTGAAATTATTTTTTATTAATTAAAAATGTAAGTTCATTATTTCATAGTAATATGACTCATATTTAATTCTTAAGTTTTCATTTTTTGTATTTTAAAATAACTTATCTTCTTGCTAGATATCTTTTTTGTGTAAAACTGTATAAATAGAAGTCTAAGTTACTGTTTATGAATATTTTTTTTTGATTATTATAGAATTTTTAATGTTCTGTGTTTCTGTTACTTTAATGTCTTGAAGTTTCCTTTTTATTTTTTTACTCAGCGTTGCATATTATTTAAACCATATTTTACAGAATGATATTATCACAGTTTATGCAGTACATCTAAATTATATATATTATTTTCAAGCTGTTAAATATGAAATAATTATGTGTAGTTATAATAATATGTGTTCTTTACTTATATTGTTACAGTTTTTTTTCGTGCACATATATTCATAGCGTTTTATTTAATAAATAATATTAATAGGTTTTATTTATTTTAAAAATAACCATCATGTAATGACAAAAAAATAAAAATAATTAAATTACCATATTTGCAATTTATTTACAAACTTATTAAAATATATGAGTATATACCAAATTTGTGTTATTTACTTTTTTTCTTTTTTTTTTTTTTTTAATTAAGTTTTATACTATTTTATAAGATTTTTTAAGAAATATAATTATGTTCCTTGTATCTTCCGGGTTCAATCCTAAAGCTTGACAGATTTGTTTGAAGCTGTGGAATCGGTTTCGGCATTTTTGACATTCGGTGATAATGTGCTTGATCATTAATCGAAAACCATGTATGTCACATAATGAATGTTCATCATGGCTCATCAAAAAGCTGTTTGTTAGGTGATTTTATCTAATTTGGAGTCTGTTAACTATGGTTTCTTCTTTGCTATTGAGTTTGATATTTTGCCATAAATTGATATTGGTTTTTATTTTGTTGAGTTAGGTGTTAAGATTTTGCGTATTTGTAGTGGTGATTGAATTCCAAAGCAAGTCAATAAGAATTTTAAATATAGTTTGGATGTTTGTATATTCTGTGTGAATATATTTTATGGCTTGATGTATTGCCTTCACTGCTGTCAAGAATATTGAGGTTTAGGGAGGGAGGAAGTTTGTATGTTATTGCTTGGTTATTTATTATAATTACAAGTCCAACTTCATTAATTGTTGTAAATGCATCAGCTTATAAGTAGTCACTGTTATATTTATATGGAAGGCATTGTGTTTTCTTTTTTAATTTTTGTTAGAGAAAGGTTAATATGTGTTTATTACTTTGTTAGCCGGATTGTTCAAGTTTCTTTTGGTTCTGGTATCATATAATAGGAGTAGTTTTTCTATTCTGAGGTCAAGTGGAATTTAATTTGCAATATTTCTGATGATTTTGATTAGATTGGATTTGAATCCGATGATTGATAGTCTTATGGCAGTATTTAGTTTAGTTTGGATCATACTTAATTATTTTAGTTTTGGCAATTTTAAGTAATCCAGAGCCGTAGTCTATTTTGATAATAATTAATGCTTTGTAAATTATTAAAAGAATTGAATTATCTCCGTCCTATGTATGTAACCCATATATGTGTTGAACATAGTTATTGAAACTAATAATGCAAAATGCATTATTTTATGTAAATATCCGAAAATATAGAGAATAAAAGAGAAATTATATATTCACGTGAATATATTGAAGTAGTATAGAAAACGATTTGTGTCTACAAATTTTGGTTTAATTTAGAGTATCATCATGGAAAAATACTAGTACATTTCATTTTTTAACAGTTTTCCAATTTCTTTCGTTTAAAGGTAGCTGATATTATATATATATATATAAATATATATATTATTAAATTAAACGTATAATAGTACTTATATTTTTTTATTTATTATTTTTTGTTTTGCTTCACTCACCATTTAGTCGCTTTGCCGCTTCTACCAAAGATACTACATATCATGCATATAAGTAAAATTATAAGTTTCTACTTATATTTTAATTAATTTAAGTCTAACTAAAAAAATATTCAAGTAGTATTTTTCTGTTATAGTTAAAGTATTTTTGTTTTAATATAAGACGTTATTATTTTTTATCTATGAATTTAACCATAGCAGTTAAATATATAGAAAATATTTATGGTAGTGAAGTTACATTTTCAATTATTTTATCTGCATTATTCGATATTATCACGATAAATTTAGTAAATTAATATTTTTACTATTCAAAATAAAATATTTGAAACGTGGACAATAACTAAGCAAACTGAAAAAAAGGCTGAGGACGTTTGGGAATAAAATTTGGAGAAGAATTTGCGGTCTCACCTATGATGAATCAACAAGTAGTCGGAGAAAAAAGTACAACAAAGAACTACTCGAAATGTTTAATATACCACCAGTAACCAGTTTCATCAAAGGGCAAAGAATACAATGGCTTGGACACATCATGAGAAGGGGGAAAGCGATACTGCTAAACCAGCACTAGAATGGAAACCATACGGAAAGAGACCCCGGGGAAGACCCAGGAAAAGATGGATCGATGTTGTCGAAGAAGATCTAAGAAATATGGGAATAGGCACATGGAGGGAAATGGTGCTTGACAGGGATAGGTGGCGCGAGGTTGTATTGGCGGCTAAGATTCTTAGAGAGTTGTAAAAGCCAGAAAAAGAAAAAGAATAAAATAAAATGTTAAAAAGGTAAAAATTATAGTCTATTTGTGATGCTGTATTATACTGCTAAATTGTACTCGAATAACTTTTATGATATAGGTCAATGTTTTAAGTAAAAAACTATAATTTCTATAATTATAGATTTGAAAAAATGGATGAAATATTATCAGGATTGTCAAGATTTTTTTATTTTATTTTATTTTATCATATTATATTATTAGTTTAACTACAATTAGACATCATTCATTTTCAATTCTGAGCCACTAAATAATAGCTATAAAATGATTAAGTGAGTGACTAAGTGAAAATATTTCCAATGATACTTTTCTGAGAATATTATAAATTAATAATTCTTCTTCGATTTTTTTCTTTGCGTTAATTTTTGGAAATATTATGTGTAATCAACAAATCGGAAATATCATGGAGGTGAAATATATCGGATTCTAATTTACTGAAAGCAAACATATTAATTTCTCTCTATTCATACAAGTATTTTCAATATATTATAAAACAAAACTGGTTTTTGCTTTTATTTATAATCATGCATTCCTGACCTACTTTAAAACAATCGGTAAACGGTAACCTAAGTTTGAAATAATATTGATTTTAATATTTCATTAGTTTTGATATTGGTTTAATTATTATTTAGTGTTGGTATATTGAATATTTCAATCTTTATTTTATAATTTTGTTTTAAATATTTGTATAAAAATAAATGATAAAACTAATTCCGTTAAGTTAAAATGTTCAAGAAAACTATTTTAAATTAAATTTATGAAGATTCTTATGGTCACTTTGCATATTTAAATTTATGAAAACCATAAAAAAAAGTAGTTTTTATATGTATTACATGATTGTAAATTTAAAATATAATTCGGTAATTTCGTATTCAAAAATTCAAAAATATTTTGTTGGATACATAGGTAATTTTTATATTTAGTTTATAAAACTATAAACATGTATTTGATATTCCATATAATGATAAATAATAATTGTTATTCATATATTTTTTATATCCATGAAGCCCGGGGTCATGACTCTCTCTTTGTCTCCCTTAATCTGGTCTTGGTTGTACTCAATATATTATACCTATAATTATAATATAGAATAGATTAAAAATCTTTAAATGTGTATTTTATTATTTAAATATTAAATGCGATTAGACTACTTGGCTGTGTTAATAAAAAAAAAAAATAATTCAATACACTTTTACTAAAATTGTACTGCGAAATATTTGTTATTGATTCTTGTTTCATTTTATAAAGTTATAAGGTTTACAGAAATTAAATGAATGTTTATTAAACTTGTGTATTATTAAAAATCATGAACTCGTTGCAATGTCATCAATCGTTAATGCAATTGGCGTATCCAATGACGCATTGCATTGGTTTTTACATCGCGTTCTTAATCATTCATCGGATAACCGGAAAATCATGACAACCATGATAGATATAATTGCGTTGGGACTAAGGATCCATTATTTATTCAAATATCTTAAGTTTGAATGAGCTGATCTATAAATATTGATATAAATATTGAATAGACTTGAGAAGTTTTGAAAAATTAATGATCGTTTAAATATAACAATCTATAATCAATGTATAGGTATAAAATATGTAAATAAAGTAAAATATACTACATAATAATAATAATAATTACGTACAGTTATCTTATTTTAACAATTTCATGGAAAATATATTATCATTATTTAAATAAATTATGATGATATACACTATATTAATATCTCAATTAAAAGTACATTTCTCGAGTGTTGTGTTCGGTTATTTATTTTATATAGAAACGAATTTTTTTTTGAGATATCAAAAGCATAATATACAACATAGCGTTCGGTACGAGTTTTGTTTCGTTAGGTGTTTATTTTTACATGATATCGACACTTTACCGAGTACAACAGTAAATATATTTTACCTATACCTACTCGTGTATAAAACGTGTACAGTGTGTAGCCGTGTAAGTACAGCGTCCTGTTAAGAGTAAACAGCGGGTGTAGGTTATAAATAACTGATAGGGTAGAAATGCATAGTAGTACACTGGCCATTCTGGGGTAGTGAACATGTTGTGGAGTATATTATATAAATATGATATCCTTGTAAACGTCATCGTAGTTATGATTTTCACTATTCGGTAGATAATTCGACACGTTTTAATATACAAGCCCAGTGGTAACATTCATATTTCTTCTGTCCTCTTAGGCACTAACAACTAGCACTCCATTTTGAAATATGATCCATAGACCAGCATATAATTAAACAAGTAACAAGTGGGGCTGGTTATGGCGCAGTTTTCTTACGGCGTTGCGATTAGGTCGCGTCCGGCGTTATTACTAGTTCCTGAATTGGTAACGACCACCCGCTAATTTTGCAACTCCTATAATATGCGTTCCACCGACCAACGAAGAACTACTATTTTCTTATTGCACTAATTGACTAGATCGGTATCGGGGATCAAAAATAAAAATAAAAATGAATATAATTTTCGACACTCGAAATGAAAAACTAGAACTCATTTCATTCACATTAGTTATTGAATTTTATTTATTATTGTACATCATCATAACATTAATAATACCCCAACAGTTTATAACTTAAAATAATAATTTTAAAAACAATAGAAAATCAGTAGTAGTACCGATTTTTATGATTTTTGATTCATGACTCCCTTAAATTGTACGCCCTACAGTTACACGTAAGTTGTATGGATAATATTTATCTATGTAATACATATAGGTATATTGTATTATCGTTATAGTTTATTATCAAACCAAATTTATACAATTTCTTATTATTATTTCGTATATATTTATGTTACAAACGAAAATCAACGTGTAGCAAAACCTGTGGCATTAACTGCGTAACCAATGTAAAAGCTATGTTTAACGGATGTTTACAAAACTATTAATATCACAAAAATTAAAAATTTAGTATATACAGATACCAAAACTTTCATTTTTTCAACGCTGAACACTTTTATACATCAACCAAAATTTTCATTCACCTGTTACCTATTCGATCGTTTTACAAAGATAAGATTCGGTGTATTCATAATAATGAGATTTCTATTTACAGACATCCATCTGTAAAAGTGTCGTACTACCTTACAATCGCGTACATTAAGAAATTTCTTGCGATCAAAAAAATACTCCATTGTACATTTTATTCCCAAAAATAAGCTAAATAACAGATATAGCCTTTATATAGTGGTTGGTCTTAGGAACCACCCCTTATATTCCGTTATTATAAGGGTTTTCATTATTTCACAACAGGCTGATTACGGTAAATTACTGGTAGACCTTTTTTGGGCAGTATGAATGAAGGACCTCTGAGAATCCACTAGGAATCTGATAAATATTTATTTACAATTATTACAACGTTAACGTGTAATTTTTGAGATGCTAACTGTAGCTTTTTATTAGATAAATTGTACCTACAGCGGCGTACATTTAATCATGCTCTGGGGGGGGGGGGGTTAACAAAAATAATCGTTATCTTTTTTTTTCGTTGCACAGATAAATAAGATAAATAACTGCTATAAATAGATATATAGATATTATTTTATATAACATTTTTACCAATTTACAGTTTACTTTTACATTACAGTAAATTAATAGCTATTGGAATATAAAAACAGCATAGGTAACAAAACTTTTCAAATACCTATCAATATAATTATTTAATTATCATAATATTTGTATAGTTGTATATTTTAAGTTCAAAGGGTAATAATGAAACTACGAATATATTACACGTAATCAATTATAAAACAATTTTCTTTTTTTTTTTGGCCCTGGGGGGGTTTGAACCCGGACCCCCTCCCATATGTACGCCACTGTGTACATAATGTTATTCTCTCAGTGATACAAGTGTTATGTGGATAAAAGCAATTTTAATAACTCGAGAATGATGTATAATACGTATGTTAGTGCGCGTTAGAATTCATCTTTTGAGTTAATCAAACAATATATTTTAAAAACCAAACACGATGCCAAAAATGATCAAAAAAAACTTGAAGTATTCTCTTGAAGTTAAAAAAGTTTATCGCATACTGTAAGTCCACGTGCCATCTCGTTGGTTCGTGACATGGCTGGACATGAAATCCGATTATTTGGTTCACGAAACGTTCATAGCCGTTTACTGGAATCTTAAGGCGGTGACCAAGATCGCGGAAAAGGGGGTTTAAAAAATGATAAATTTAAGTTAATACGTTACCGGATTTCTTATCATGGTTTATCATCAATTCTAATAGATTGATCGTTTCGAACAAATTTCAAACCACAGCTGATCCGTTTAAAAGTTTTAAATTAAAACGTCTAAAAAGTCTCGAATTCTAATGGATCTGGTTTTAGGGGAAGGTTGACTGTATCGCTATAGTTCTTACCAATTTTCTCGTCGAACTCGTAGCAACGAGGGATCACGTTTGGGTTACCGCATGGATACCTCTACATTGGCAATGCATACCACAACGGTGTACGGTGTAAAACTCGTTTTGGTCGTGCAACGGGGTTCGCGCGTGTTGCACTTGATCGTGAGGCACACTGAGGCTGCATAGCCCGTGGTAACAACGGTCGGTATTGTCGTTGGACACGCGAGGGGACTGTCGGCATGGTGGCGGCGGTGGAGGCGGCGGTGGCGGCGGCGTCGGCGGCGGCAGTGGCGGCTACGGCGACGGCTGGTAGCCCCCGTAGGCCCGTCGGTCGCGTCGCAAGTTGAATGAACGACCAGTGGTGCGGCCGTGGCGAACGCGTGCGGTTGTGTTTATCGATCAGCGTGCGGTTGCTTTTATTTTTTTATTTTTATTCTTTTCTCCGGTCGTTCGTTTTCGTTTTTTTATTTTTAAAATTTTATTTTCAACCGTTTCAACCGTCGCGCCTACACCGCGCACCGATCGTTTTTTTTCGCACTGCCGAGTCGTACTCATCGTTCCCGTGGAATCCGATCCCATTTTCGAACGTTATCCGGCTTCAGCGGCTGGCAAGGCAAGCTCGTCCGTAATCCTCGTCTGCTCACGTGAGCTCTGCTATTGATTGTCAAGTATGCTTGAGCGTCACGCATTTTACTAAGTATGTTTTTTTTCTACGAAAATATATTATTTTGTTTTCTCGCACAGCATATGGTTCTCGATTTGGGTCGATCCCTTAAAACCGAGGAAACCGAACGTTTTAGCTCTACGCGGACTGCAGTCGTACATCTCTCGGTGCATCCGTAGATTAACCGTTCATACGCATCGCAAACGTATACCCACACCTCCGTACCGTTATCGCGACGGATGACAATATATCATTGTGGATCCGTATTTGTTTACAAAAAAATCTCCTAAATGTTCAACACAGTTGCAATGTTATAGGATACGTACCTACTGATATATGTATTACTGATGTTGTGCGGTTTTCGAATTAATCGTCCGATACCATAATGTTACGTGTACATTCGAAGCGTTCGTAGTAATATTCCGTGGTTGAAATTGTTATTGAAGTGCTATTAATCTCGTATTTTAAAACTTCAAGTTATATTCATTTTTATGCGCTCGATAGTTTGTATAACTAAGAACAAAATAATTGTAAATTAAAACGGACCTAGTGCGTTTATTTTATAATTTAAGCACTGAAAAAGTTATAATTTTCTTATAACCACGTACGAATGCACAAATTCTCGTGTTTTCGAATTTTAATTATTAGGAATATCTTGTTTATAACCACCGCAAAGCTACACTTAATTTATAAAAAAAATTATTAATCAACAGCGCATTAATTTGAGTATCAATTATGTGGAGAAAAATAAATGATTTGTGATTGATAAATTAAAATTTATTTTTTATTGAAAAACAAAATTAAACATTATTTTTTTGCTCATTTATTAATAAGTAACGAAATTTGACATAATATCAGTTATTTGTCTACTTAAATATTTTTATGTATTATACAATAAGCATTTTTTCTGTTTTAAAGTTGTTAAAAAAAGCTTTAGTTTTTCTGTACTGATTACAATCAACATAACGTGTTCCAAATTCGGTGAATCATAAAATCATTAAGTAAATTTAATATGAATATTAATTATTAAAAGTACTGTACTGATGCATGCAATAAGTTATATCATTATTTGAAAATTTACTTTTTAATTCATCCTCAATAAAATAACATATATGAGTTTAAAACTTCTTATTTTTATAAGTAATAAGAATTAAAAACAACTGTAACGTTATAACTATACGTATTAGTGGTTTTTACTAAAAATATGAATAAAAGCATTGTTTTTGAATTATTGTGTATACCAATTGTTTTAAAATCGAAACATTTGCATGGTTAAAGTCACTTATTTGTATTAGATAGTAATTTTAATAATATATTATAATTCAAAATTTTTATGTGATAATAACTATGGCATTATAAAACGAAATTTAATAGAGTTCAATTTAAAACTATTTTAAGAACGTATAACTGCGGTTTTTGACTCGTGCAGGTTTCTTGATTTAATTTATTAGTTCTCGTAATTTTTAGTCAAATGTTAGTAAAATGTAAATCATTACGAGTATATCTCCTTAAAGTAAAATTATTAGTCAAGTAACTTTAGTTTACCAGGATACTATTTAAAAATTGTTGTGATTAATTATGGTAATTACCTTACGTATTTCAACATTTCTGATTAGAAGCGCTAACATACATAATATTTCAAAATCACTGTTCGAAATTTCCCTTTGAATCAAATGTAGAATAACAATAAAATAGAGCATTTATATTTTTATTGTTAATCGTTTATATGACTCACTCTCGTACGCATGTCTACATTATATGTTAGACTAATAAAAAAAAATTTAAAAAATGGGTACCTATATGCAATGCGATTTGATTTTAATAAAACTTAATTAATGTCAATCGTTTATTTAAAACGTATATTTCTCTACTTCTCTACATGAATTCATCACAGTATTTCAAATTACAGTAAAGATTTTGTAAGAATACTTTTATTATTCGCTCTACACCAGAAACGTTTGTTCATATTTTTAAATTTTATACTTTGTTTAATCTCTATTGTTTTGCCCTCTTTATTTATCGCAATTATCTTGTAATTCGAAACGAAACTTTGGAAGGTCTTTAACCCTTCTATGGAAGTATGGTCCTTCATTGTATATAGTGTCGATATTATGCACGTTTTTACGGCGTCTAAAAGATTTTATTACTATTCCCCCGTCAATTACTCCGCCTGCTGACCATATGTACCCCGAGTTACGTTTCTGTAAAGTAGCTGGGTCAACTACCGTAGGAGTATAATTTTTTTGTTTGTAATTGAAAAATTACTAAATATCCATTTATGAAGATGGTTTTATTTTAATTTCAAATCAAGACTACCCAAACAACTAGAGAAAATTTGATAGAGGAAAACTGTATTAACTGAAACATTTTTCAAGATTACCTGTAGATCTACACTATATGGTTGTACCTAATAAAATATACTTTATAAAATAATTAATCAATGCTTAGCTAGTTTATTTTAGTTAATACATTTTAGTCATATACAAAAAGTCAAGTCAAGTAGATTCTGAGTAAGCTATCACTAATATAATTTGTAAAACACATTAGTAAAACATGCCTATCAATTTAAACTGTATAATAGTGGTAATTGGTTATGAGGATGTTATCCAGTTCAATGGACATAAAAAAATGATATTCCTTAAAAAACTAAAACATTATCAGTAGATTTAATTGTATAACAAATAACTATCGTATTACGATTATATATAATATGATTATTTCAAGTGATAGTTAATTATATATATTATATATTAATAGTAGAATATAGTTTAGTAAATGTTGAACTGATTTTATGCTTATACATATTTGAGTTTCAATGTAAGTATATAATGTTAACTATAATAATCTAAAATTATGCATATTTTTTAAAAACCAAATATTGTATATATATTTAAAATATTTACCAACGAAATATAAACAATTGAATGAAGATTTTTGAAATAAATCAATAAATTAATTATATTAAAAATTATACGTAATCAAATCAAAGAAAATGTTTTATAATGTCATAGTTATTATTTTATTTATTTATTATTTTATTTTATGTCGTCTGATTAGAAAAAAATGCTATAAATTACTATTTATGTGTTATTATGCCTTATATTATTTATATTATTATTTGAATAAATACATAAAATTTAACTCTAGCTTTATTTTTGTCCATATACGCTTAGTGAAACATAATTATAGTACTATAGAAGTATTGTTTTGTTTTTGAATGTAAAATTTTATTAAAAATTCGATTATTTTTCATAATGTTATAATAACTGTTTTAGGATAAAATTTCTTGCATTAGCTTAAAAGGTGGCAAACTGCCTTAATTTTATAAAAATTATTTTTTCTTTGTTTAAATATTTCTCTTAAATATTAAATTTTAAAAACTATCATTCTCATTCTCATTTATTTGTAAAGGAATAAAAATACATTAATTATTTGGTCTAGTTTTTGTCTAGTTATTTGTGTACTAAGCAATTAAATGTGAAATAATTAACCATTGCTGTACGAATTAATAGTTAAAATACTTCAATTACGTTTTAAATCATAATTTATAAGTTTTATACTTCGATTTAACGTCGATGTATAGAAATGTATTGTTTTTCTTTCCACAGATTATAATTAGCCTAAATCCACCAATCGTATATCACACGGTGTATTGCCAAAAACTACAGTATTAGGTACCTAATATTATTAATAAACTAAAATATAAATATTTTTCAATATAATATAACTATTTAGGTTTGCCATTTATTTATTTTTTTTTTTTTTGTTAGCATAGAAAAAACGAATAAATAGTTAAAACTAATGAAAATTATGCTGATTTGTATTACGTAAAAAATTAATATTGTAAACACCCACGATTTCTTCGAAAATCCTTAGCGTGAGTGAAAACATGTATATTATTTTATGTAAATTTTTAGTTCTACAACAAATAAGCATCACTTGCTATTATGATATCATAGTACCTATATTTGTAAACAACAAATAATTTTCTCGTCTATTCCAACATTTAGTCGTTTATTGGTGGTCAACGTGTGTTGACAAATAGTCGATTTTATTATCAAATGAATGCATAATTATTGGCTTTAAAATTAAAGAAATTGATTTATGCTTCAAAAATATAAATATTCAGTACGAAAAAATGTTTTTGGTTCGTTTATCATTACGTTCTTGATCTTACATAAACAACTGCAATGGTAATCTTCATAGCAACTATAACAGCTGGACTGCACGTGAAAAAGGTTGAGGATATTAAAAATGGGAAAAGTTGTGTATATCCACGTTAATTAGTCATTCATTACACCGACACATAAATTTTGTTGATATCATATAATCAACGTCTAAAATAGAACAGATAATTATTCACATGAATGGTATCTTTTTGACTTCCAACATTTGACAACATTTGAGATGTATTTATTACACGGTATCATTTATTGCTGTTAATTATTCTAGGGCTCATTAATTACGACATTTTTCAAACCCTAGCACGATAAGGTAGTATAGTTCGTGAAAAACGTAGTTCAATATGTAGGTTAGCGTATAAGATTATGTATGGAGGCCATTGGATAACATTGCAGACGCGTAAAGCATGTCCTAACACCATAACTCGGAGTTTTAAGACGATTGCGAGGGTTTTTGTAAATTCCACGATTCCAACACTAACAGAACGATTTTATAGAGTCAATTCCGAAAATAAAAAATTAATGCATCAAAAACCAAGTGCGCGGTGCATCTTCATAAGCAAAAAGGTTATTGCGTAAGTGTTCAATGTTATCGTCCGATTTTATTTATTCGTAAGGCAAGACCGCCAAGTGTTGCTTAGGATGCATTACATGAAAGTTTTCTATCTGAGCACCTTTCATCGTTTCCGCCTGCTAATCGTCATGATTGTACCACTGTAGTTGCGTAACTTTCGTTGACTCATCATCACATCAGCAGCACGCACTTTGATATCGATCGTGATGCCTCTGTGGACGCGTCGCGGCAAACTTGACAACTGCTACCTCGCGGATTAGTGGGCGGGCGTGAAAACCATCGGTCAGAAATCGGAAGTATTTCTCCGTACGCCTTCCATAGCAGAGTCTTGATGCGGCGTGAGCGTTAAAGGAAATGCGGATATTGAAGTTCACCACGGATGTGTCGGATTCGTGAACAATTGCGTTCCGCAGTATGAATAATTGACCTATGCACTTTATATGCGCACACACACACACACACACACACACACACACACACACACATATATATATATATATATATATATATATATATATATATAAGGTTATTATATGTTATTTTATCGATGGTCATTTGTATATTATTATTTTTATTTTAAATTTCCGGTGCAAAGTACTTTCAGTGGTATCCATAATCTATATTGTGCACAATATGATGACGTGAACGTGTTTATCCGTATTTATACGTATCAACAGCGAATTATTATTGTGTTACAGACAGCGAATTTTTCACTTGAAAAATGATCACTCTTTCCTGTAACATTTTCGTCTTCCGCGGCAGTAAAATGTTCGCTATACTAAATTGCTCCGGACTTTTCGACAGTAATAAAACCAATAATTATCGTATTCATACTAACACACTATATTGAGTATTCCATTTTTACGTTACACGCGTCTGCAATGGACCGATTTGTATTTATTACGGGTTACACGTAAATGCTTTATCCGTAGACAAAGCAGACCGATCACGTATTATTATTATTATTATATCGTGTCAGCCGGAATCATATTTATTAAAACTATCAGCTGCGTAAAGCCTACGTAGACGCCAGTAATATGTACGTCTCCTCTTATTACGGGTTTTACGCTGTGTATTTCAATAGAATTCCAAATGAATACAATGAACGTCTTAATTTCTAGTTAACTGTTTCAGTTGTTTAGAAACGTTTTTTATATCACAATTTAGACATTAATTTATGTGTTTCTGGAATAGAAAAAATTAAATAAATAATAAAATTATAAGAAAAAAAATTATCATTATAATCCAGATCACAACTGTGAGCGCGTGCCTGTTGGATGCCATTGTAAATGTATATAATTGTCTTTTTACATCACAGTAACAATAGACGTTTAAATTGATAAATATTTATTTATAAATTTTTAAAATCTAAGTCATTTCAATTGACCTAATTGAACTTTGTAGTTCTTGAGCAAAAACAAGTTAATTCTGTTATAATACTTTTGAATTAACAATATTATGGAAATTGTATTTTTATTTTTTATAGGTATAATTATTTAGTATACCGTGGTTATCGAATTCGATAAAAATCATTTTCGATTATATATAATATAAAATATGTATCAACTTTTTATCGTTATTTAACCATTGAAAATATACCAAGTAACATAATACATAAACCGTGTATGTGTGAAATGGGCCTTATGTTGTGTGAACAAAAAATTATATGATTAACATTTTTGAATGATCCAAAAGTACTCTACATCGCACATTGAAATTTATATTTGTTGAATAAATTTAATTTTCGGATAAGTAGATCTTAGATAAGTGATTTGAAAAATTTAAATACCTATAAATAAAATAATATTGGGTTTTTTTAGATTTCGTTTTCTTTATAAATTATAATTGTAATTTTTTCTTCTTCTGATTATAATAATATATCTATTATGCATTTTACAGAACACAAACCCAATAATGATGACTATTCGCGTATGATAACATGCAAACGAACCGAATGTATATCAAGCCCATGTTGTTCAAATCGCTGTCTGTTCGATGGTTACTTTTAGCCATTTATATACAATCGGCATTTTCAAGACCTGTAGAACAATCGAATAAAATAAGGTCACCTCCAGTCCATGAAGATGTGGTAAGTGTTTAGTATGGATTTATCAGTTGATTTTTACGAAATAAAGGGAGTTGATAAATTATATTTAGAGCACTAGCTGTGAAGGTTTAGGAATCACACATGATATAACATACAATAATAATACATTCTAATCGTGTACTTAAAAATTCGCAGACATAATAAACATATAGGATCTAGACAATAAAAGTTCTGATGTCTCATAAAAAATTTATTTTATAAATTCTTACCTATTTAATTCTTCTCCAAAGCAATTTTAATTTATATTTACTCGATTTTTCATAAAAAAAGTATTGATTTAGTTTATTAATACAGTTAGAATAGTCTTACTTTAATATAAGAATGCCACTTGGGAAAATATGTTACCGAAAGAGATTGCTCTTGATTTTAAGTGGAGTGAACAATTTATTTTTGTTTAATTACATCATGTTGAAGTGCCACGTAAAATATTTCACGAAAACGATTGTAAATAATTTAAAAATAACTTCACTTTTGTGAGCATAAATTACACTCATATAAATGTTTTATAATAACTTCATGTTGATTAATATCAATATTATTTTTTCACAATGTTGTTAATAAGAAAATATACAATATACTACACATTATATAGCGTGCATACATATTTTATGTTCAAGTACATTATTGAAATTGAATTAATTTTCTAGACCTTATTCGTTTTCAGTTCATGTAAAAAACAAAAAACTCATTTGTTAAAAATACCTTATTTACCTGGTTACAATCAGAATGGAAGAACGAAGGTTGATTTTATGAATGCGATCATGACAATAATAATATATTATTCTTTTATTCGTGGTATCAATTTAAAAAGAAGCAATCGTATTGTGTAGTTTGTAGTTACTATGTACAATTTCTACATGTGAAGTATAATAAACGTATAGAATCAATGTAGTGTCTGAAGCCTTAATATTCGTCAATATTGCAATATAGACTGTGTAGGAAAAATGAGTAGAAAACTTCGTGTTTTCATTTTTTAATCAACATATATGGTAAATACGAGCTTAGACACCCTACAGTCTAGTGAAAAGAAACGGTTAGCTAAACAGTTGGGAATTGTATGCAATAGTAGTCGATAATAATTATTAATATGTGCAGTAGTGGTATATATCCATCATTTTGAATCGATCGGTCACGAGTTATAAATATTATTTTCGATACTGTTCATCAGGCGAGAGATCGATGATGATGTCTGGGGAAAATGTTAATTAATAATAATCCTGCACCCAGGATATATGTTATAGTAACACATGGCGCGCGTGTTCTGCGCCCAAAAAGATACTGTATATATATATACGTATTCATAAAATACATCCTAGGGTAGGTAGTATAAATATATAATTTTATAAATAGAGGTGTGCCGCGTGACCATAATACGTTGCGGTAGGTTATATAGAAACGATTGTTAACTTAGTAGCGACACATTTAATAGGGTGTGTCGTTACAAGTCTACAGTCTACTGTATAACTATAATAAATTTCATAAATCCTGTGTGGTTAGGTTCAAATTATATTATTGTTTAACATGCGTAAAAAAGGACTCCAGAGAAGTATATTATCTAAAAGAACTCCATTAAATGATAACATTACATTTATAGATACAATAGATGACCTCATGAAGAGACCAAGTCTATCTACATGTATGTTCAAATATAAATATAAATTATAATATTCTAATTATATCTAATCGAAATTAAAATTAAAAACACTAACAGTAATTGTTAACAGTAAAGATAATATACTTTAATATAAAACAAATTAGATTAATTAAATTAGTTTATTACCATATTAATATTAATGTATCATATACCAATATGCGGCTTATGAGTATGATGTGCAGTATACACGTATACATGTAAATTCTTCCTATAATTTTCAATGATGTTTTGTATATTTTTTAGCTTTGATCTAAAAATTTTGAAATTGCGGGTGCTCGTTGTGCAAACAATTATTAAAAATAAACCATTATACATTGTATGCAATTCATAGTATAAGCAAAATCGTAGTTTTTAATGTTTAGATAAATTATTTTACCAATTCATTTGGATTATAATTTATTTTTATTGAATATGTTACAATTGTAAAAAATTATATTAGTATATAGAACAATTTCTTCCATATCATAATAATGAGATATTCAACAGATAAATATTCTTTTATTTTATTTTGGTACAGTAAAATATATCATGCTACGTACTGTTAATTTAAATCTTATAAATAAAAATCAAATAAATATTTTTCTGTTTATTTAATAATTAAATACTTAATCATAATATTTTTACAAAATTAAATAAATTTAATAAAAAGGTTGCATTCAATTTAATTAAAACTTTCGTGTACCGGTACTTCAGTTTAAAATAATATTAAATTTTTAATATTTTAAATTTGATGTTTATTAATCTTTTTAATAGTATGATCAGTTAGTCATTTATACTAAATAAATTAGAAGATGAAAATCTTAAAGTGATAATGCTTTCTTTCTGCAGAAAATTCTAAAACGATTTTAATTTAATGTATTATATCATTAAATTTAATATTTTTATATTATATAAAGGTATAAAGGTTTCTTAATGTTTCTTCATGAACAGCTGAAAAAATATTTTTTTTCTTCTGATCTGTGTTAAGTCGTTATGTCAACAAATATGTCATCATTGTAGGATAACGGATGAAGTTGAATTTTTAAAATCTCTTTGTTGAAATAAGATGCGTTGATGAAATAAACGCGTTTACTTTATACTAGCTGACTTGTTTAGAATTGCTGTAACTTTTATTTGTCTTATGAATCAATAATAAACGTTTATCGTTGTTTGTTGTACACCTGATTCTTTTCAATTTTGATCGACTATTAATTTTATTTTTGTTTTGTTTTTTACCAAAGTTAAAAAATGATGGAATAACATAACAATGTATTATCGCTTCAGTTAATGCAATATTTACACACGAACCTTGCTTCACTATATATAGCGTATTGACAAGTATTATAAAATAAAAGTCACCAAATATTGTAAATGACAATGTTAACTGTTATTTTCCTTACAGCTATACGTCTATACATATACTATTATACTACTATTCTTTACTTATAAATATAATCGCACATTATTATAATTCAGCATATAAGTATCAATTTACAAGCAAATTTTGAGACCAAAAATTTCTATATTATGAATAATATAACGTTATACCGATATATTTAATTTGATCTACCAACCTCAATAAACAAAATAATGATCTAACTTTTTTTATTATTATTAAATATTGAATAGAGGTAGTGAACATTTAGTTTTACAATTATAAGTATGTATTTTAGTTATACTCATAGTTATTTCATAATAATTTCAAACAGAAATTTGATTACAAAGTTGAATTTCTTTTTTTGAATACTTAATCAAATTATTTTTTGAAAGTTAAGCTTAAGTGAGTATTTTTAAATATTTCAATAGTTATGAGATGGCAAATAAAATGAACAGTGGACAAACGGTGAAGAAATCAATGTACAAAATGCAAGAATTTTTTATTTATTTAATGGATTTCTCTTAATTTTAATTTTTTCTAATATAATAATACCCCGAATCATATACTGATTGAATAATTTCAAAAGTTATTATATATTTACTTGTGCAGTGCTAAACTACAACATTATTAAACAGCTATTTTCTCTATTTCTATATAGTTCATATTTTCAATGATTAGTTATTAGAAGTGATACAATTAAATTAGATTTGAAATATTTATTTTACCTAAATAATTATTAAATAATATAAAAAGTCTTATTACTACTAATTTGAAAATTAAAAAGTTCTATGAATTATAAAATGTCTGATAAACGGTTTTTTACTCATAGATAATTAGGCAATTTAACTATCGAGTATATTTTTTGATTATATATTGTATAATTTATGTTTCTGAGTTTTATTTGTAATGAGCATAACTCTTGGAAGATTAGCATAATGCTTAATGGCTTTTAAAATGTTCATGTACGAGAAATTTATAAAAAATATTCTAAAACAAAGGTGATTTCAACATAATGATAAAATTAACCATTAGAACTTTCTATAGCCGACAGTGTATTTATATACATTTTTCAATTACTTTGACATTCTACGGATTATATTTTTCCGTTTAAAGTTAATCCTTTGAATTTGTTATTATGCAATTTCGCTGTATTTATTTATACACATATTGTAGATGATAAAAAAAATAAATTTCAAGTATTGTAATATCCATAGTTTTTGTTAATATATTATCAATTTGTTTGAATATGTCACATAATTTCAACTAAATGGTTTGACCTTTTGTAAATGGCCTAAAAAAACCACATGATTAAAAACGGGTCATTTTTCCCATTACACTTTTAACTTAACCTTAAAGTCCAAATAATTTTATAATTTGTCTCATTATGTGAATATTTATGGATTTGAATACAAAAATAATATTGGATTAGTTGATACTTATAATTATACGAGTAAAATAGTTATTAATATCAAAGTTAAATTATATGCACTTATTTTTTTTTTATTATTTCTCTGAAAATATGGGAATTATAGAATAAGAAAATCAGAATAATAATATTTAAAAAAAAATTAGTATTTATATCCACTTAATCTATGTTTATCATTAGTACTAAATCAGTGTGATAAACGTGCAATTTCAGTGTTTCATCTGAATGTGTGAAAATCTGATGATCAGCTCAATAGGTAAAAAAAGTTTATTTTATATCAAACTAATTTGTAGGTTTTTAAATGGAAAAATTTCAAAAGATAACAATTTAAAGATGTATAGCAATCTAAATTAGCAGTTAACTTTTCAAGATATGTCAATAAACACAAATATTCGAAGGAAACCGACCAGTCAGTTGTTTATTTCACAACTTTAAATTCTGTAAATGGTATCACTTCATTTATGATAATTAACTACTTTATTGAATATTATGTATATTTGTAGTTTTGTTCATCTTTTATACCTCGAGTGGTTGCCGGAAGTATA